CCCCCCCCCCTCCTTTCGCCTCACCTATTTCCTCAATTAGGGTCGAACCTCAGAACAGGCACCCAACCGTCCTTCCTATTCAGGATTTCCGTTTGGTTCCCTCTGTATCATTTCCTGAGGTCTGCCTGGCTGGTGCCTGTGTGCTTGGCTGGAGGCAACCACCATTGTAACGTTACATCATTTTGGGGTTTTCCTGAGTTTTCATCCAACTTTTCTGTTCTACCTAACGTCTTTTCGTGAGTTTTTCTTTTTCCAACCGACCATGAACGACAGACCAACCAGGTTATAGATATTATAGTAATACGGGGTGCCCATTGCGGATGGGATCGGGTCGGGTCGGGTCATGTCGGGGACGATCGCCCCACTCGTAGCCTGAAAACAAACGAGTTTGTAGACGACGAGTCGGGCGCGATCGGCTTGTGCCACGATAGCCTCTTTGGGCCCTCAATATAGCTAGCAAACCACCCCGACTCGACCCGATCCCCGCCCCGACTCGCCCCGATCCCCGCCCCGTATAAGGTTGTTTTAAGGCCCATGGCTAGGGACACACAGCAGTGCACTTGACTTCAGGCTCTACAATCTAATACAAATACTATTTTTTAACTTCTGTTCTATTTTTGGGATTTATTTTCTCGAATATTCAAAGGCTTGTAGAAGCATTACAATCGGGACCTTGCCGTCGCCGCCGTTTCGTCCAATACAAATACGTGTACAATAAAGACGCCTGGAAAATGATGTATCTGTTGCTTATGAGACGGCGACGGCCCCGCTATTCAAAAAGCTCTTGACAAGCCACAATCCCTATTTTTAATCTTCATTTTTTTTATCACTGTATGTTTGCGTGCGTGTTTGGCCTGCAAATATTTGCTTTTTTATTTTGTAGAGTAAGTTACCTGGTGGGGACCCACACTTCTCTCCGTTGTATATCCACACGGACGCTTAGACTACTCTTGTCGTGTTGCCATATATTACACTTGTCGACGATCGATGAGCGAGCGGTTGGAGGGCGGTGCTGGTAGGTTCTACTACTTCATGTTGTCCGTCTGTGGTTTCGGTCCATCTAGTATCTAGTAGGAAAAGAAATCAAATGAGGTAGTGCTTGATGAAGCCCACGTGGGA